TCAATGGACTCAATAACGAATCTGATTGGTCAGTTTAATCAAACTAGCCAATCAGATTTTTTATTGAATTCATTGAGGTGGGTGCTTGAGAACGCCCTAAGTCTTAACAAGAAATATAAAAAAGGCGCTATATATTAGTAATTAATAAACTTATTGCATGAATTGAAATATATGTTAAAAGAAGATCCTGTATACTTTTATTGTATATACCTACAAGTTGGTTCATAGACCTTCAAATTGTCACAAGACTAATTCCATCTCGAATCGTAATTTATACAAATACCAATCAGATTTTTTTCATTAAAGTTTTAAAATATTTTGTATCAATCATGTTCAGTGAACGTGATTCTCCTGAAAGTGACGGAAGCCTTTCTAACATCCATATCTTTGAGAACCCGACTTATAAGAGATATGCTAACACCTAAGTATTTGAAATGATAGGTCTTCTAAATTTTTTTTCCAGCAAAGATACTTTGAAAATATCATATTTCTGTATTCAATCAGAGATACAGTATTCAGTAATATTTAAATTAAATTAGTTTTATTTTATATATACTGTAAGATGCCGAAATCACAAACTTAATCGAATCGGCTGAAAAATCATTCGGTCAGTTTTTATCAGGTGTTCTAGGAATCATGAAAATAGCTGTAATATAAATTTTTTTTAATAAATAAAAAAAATCCGGATGGGCGGGTGAGAAAAATTTTTAAATGTTATGAAAACCAATTATTAAATTTTGCGTGGCCTCATAATCACAACTTTTATTTAAACACCAAAGATTAATAAAGTTTTATTATGAAATTTAATTAAAAAACAAAAGATACTATTTGTGAACAAATGTTGACTCTATTATAAATAAACTTATTTCGCATGATATAAAATGCATGTGAAAGTCTATGAACATGTAATAAAGATTTTTTATTCAACGTTCCAAATTGGTAATTGTTATAAAGATGAAATAAAATGGCTGTTAAAAAGGATGCAATAAGCATTTATGTATTTTCATAAGAGCATAGAAATAGAAAATGCTGCTGGAATGAATAATCTTGGATATTGCTATGGTTAGGCGAGCGTAGGAATTGCCGTAGGAGTAGTAGCAGCCTTAGGATTACCTTAGGATTAGTAGTAGTCTCAGGAGTAGTATTAGTAGTGGCTGGGAGATCTTGACAACTGAAATCAAAAGAACAATAGTGACTCTTGCATGCAGCATTGACAAGACAAAAAAGCTCCATTTTCTCGTGTATCGGTTGTTTGACATTTGTTTGCATCTTGATCTGCATTACGACAAATGTGAGAATCACAATTGAAATCAGTAGAACAGAGTGATTCTTGTTGTCCTTCGAAGTCTCTTCTTTTAGGATTGATGCTGACTGCACTGGCGAGAACGAGAAAGAACATCCTAAAAAGCTTAAACAAGAGAATCTTTTTGGTTTGTAATTTGGACATTTTTTGTTTTACTATAAGTTTTTGATGATAAAGTGAAAAGGAGTGTACTATAAGTTTTTTGATGATTAAGTAAACAGTGTTCTTGCTTTATCTATTTCGAAGTTATTGCTGCGTACGATTTATGAGAGTGAGTGGGTTACTACCGTATTTTTATGTATTCCAACAATCATGACATCTAAAATTGAATTTACCATATCTAGCAACGAGAAATAAGATCAAATTAATTATTCCAAAACATGAAACAGGTGATTTAGGGCATTTGTTTACCCGACTACTGCAATTATTTCACCGGCAGCTAAATTATTATCCGAAGCGAAACGAGGACTCTTTATTTACAAGCAAATGTGAATGCACATCTATACAATGTCCGGCGGAAAAAACCATTGAAAATCGATAATTTCGGTTCCCATGAACGATCTGCAATCTGTGTACCAAACATATTGTTAATTTTTTTCACTTCGGACCTTTATTAGTTCCTAATTTCCTAGTAAATAATATGTATTAAATGGTTTTAAGTTGAAAAAGCGTTGTCATGTTTGCTCCATTGGCTAATTGGATCAATACTCTAATCCAGTGCTCCATTGTTCCATTTAAAGTCACTAATGGAGCTATCACTAATCATTAACTAATAAAATTTTTATTATATAAGTGTAAAACTTGCAGGTTTAATAATGATAATATCGAACAGGTAAATAACAATTGTTTAACTAATTAGGTATTTAATATAAGTTTTATAATCTGGAATAGTTATTGTAGCATTTTATTTTATTTGACTTATAGCTTTTTTTTAGTATTTGTTTATAATATTCTCTTTACTGAGATATAACTAGGGATGTGCGAATGTAAGTTTTTTTTTGGCTTGCATCTAGGGATGGGTTCGATCAGCTACGGTCAGCTATTGGTCAGCTATCATCGACTATCGACTAATAGCCGGCTATAGCCGATAAATTATTTGATCAATTTCTTAATCAAGTTTTCAATCAAACATATAAACAAGTGGCATATAATTATATTTTTATATGTTATACAGTTATTTATATTAGAGTACCCTAGCCATGGCGAAAAAAAATTCGGGCCACATGCTATAAACAGCCAATCAAAATGATCAAAATA